GGGCGCCGCACACAGGGGGCGCCATTTTGCCGAAATCATTCTGTGAAAATCTTCTTTAATAAAACGTTATAAATAATCAAACGCTTAGTTATTAAAAAATAATGTAATGCAACATTTTTATCTAACTGTTTTTAGCATTTTAATGAGTTCAAACATGTATTTATTATAAACTTGCTAAGACGCGGAACGGCCGTAGGCCTATCTCTTTGCGACCACAACAAACGGGAGACTTTTCAGCCGCGCACTTCAGCTTTCCCTCAGCGCGCGAGTCAAACGATCGCGGAAAAGCTACAGGTGCCAAGTGACCTTCAGTAGAACAAGTGAACTGCGGTCTGATGAGATGTTGTTATTTCAGTAAAACAAACTTTCCTGTCCTGTCAGCCGTTTTTACTGTGCTCACGGCGCACGCTCTTCAACTGTATGCGAATATGAGACGCACGCTCACTTCATAAATAACCCGCACTAGAAACTGCGAGCATACATCGTCAGTTAAGTCTGCAAAACTGTGCATGCATGTATATATTCATTACATTTAAGAACGTCTCTCAAATGCATGCAGCCTACTGAAATATTATGCAATTCAACATAGGGTGCAAGATGATATTTAATTTTTTATTTATAATTTAATGAACAAGTAGGCCAAATGTGAGCACAGTGCAGTAGTACTAGAAAATATGCGCTAATTTTTCTTTAATTTGTAATGTACGAAAATGAAAAGAAAATGAAACCATATTTAAATGCATAAAATAACTTTCTTACATTATTTTCCTTACTTTTGTACAGAGCTCGATTTAGGTATGAGAATAGAATGTTAACCATTGACTTTTTCAGAGTTCATTGATTATATAAAATGCAGTGAAGGTTGACTATAGTTATCTGCATGTCTCATCCATGAGTAGGCCTATATGCAATGATGGAAAACAAGATTTTGGAGGTGTTAAGACCCAGAGCCAAGCTTACTGAGCAATAAAGCTATAGTGAGCACTTTTATTAAAATACCTGGAGCCTAGGTAATACAAAAATTGTCATTCACTCAGTATTACTTCATGTAATTCTATTTCAAATGTAAAAATGATCTCAATTACATTTAAGTACAAATTAGTTGTATTCAGTTGTGTTTTAGGTCCTAAAACGGTCCAGTACTTTATAGTCAAATCCATTTCTATATAGAAATAATGAAGATTTCTGTGCCACCCCAGACTGGTTCCTGGCCCCTTCCTGGCCACCCCTATGAAAACATCCTGGCACCGCCACTGCCTAAGAGGGCAAAGTGATTAATATCAGTTCATTTCTGAGTATCTCTATTGCTCGGAAGAAGAAAAAACACGTTTGTGAATGGGCATTTCATTTACATTTGAGAGAAACTGAGAAGATTATAAACAAGGATACAAACTGGCCACCTTTCACTGAAAATTGCTGTTCTGAATTCAAAGGCCATCTGTGTGATTCCAGTTGAAAACTCTTGCTACTTCATACTTCAATACAAAACAATGCTGAACTTTGACAAAAAGGATATTTTTAAATGCTATAATAGTGATTTTATAATGTCTAAATATAAATCCATTAGCAAAACGTGAAAAAGAACTATATTACAGAGTGGATATGGTAAAGGAGACAATAAATTATCCTCTGCTACCATCTAGTGGCCATGGTGGGAATCGTGACATTCATTTTAACAGTATTTGTTTTTCTACCAGGTGAAATCTACCTCAAAACAATGTGTTGTATTTACAGAAGGCATTTGTAAAACGTTAATTTACTTGTATGACACAAGTTGTTTCATAAGGTCTGACAGATTGGGAAAGGAGATTACCAGCAGGCTTATGCATGGCACAGATCTGTTCACTTGGCATGAAGCCCGACTGTTTCAATCTCAACATAAGGGGTACATTTTCACCACTGACGTAAAACTATATATAAACCATGACCATGTTTATGTCTCTCTTTAGCTGATTAAGATGGAGATGACATTGTGCATACTGTATTCCTCATGCCGCACAGGTGAGTGTATATGTATAGATGTGATGTAGTGGTCTGTGCAGTGAGATTACTGGAGTTGCCATAGTGGAATAATTTGATGTTGTGCTTATTGCTCTTACTGAAGCAAAATTGGTTTTTTTCATTAAGGCACTTTCGCAGCCAGACTTGGACCTGTCCGTCCTTTCAGCCTTACCGTCCACCACAGGGGAGGCTACAGTAAGATCATACACACACACATACCTGTACATTCTCATACAGTGTCCTACAGTGTCCTTCTCTCCGTCTCCCTATAGAATATGTGAATGCTGAGGAGTTGCCTACAGACATGAAGTCCATCACAGACCGCGCAGCTCAAACACTGCTGTGGACCGACCTTTTCAGGGGTGTGTGTGTGTATAATGCTTGTTTACATTTTAATTTCTGCCTGTATTTGCATTTGGACTAACATGGTACAGAGGTTCTGTAATATATAAAGTTGTGTTGTTCAAATACATAATAATGATCATAATAAATTATTTTTAGGTTTAGGGTTGTTGTTGTTGTTGTTATTCTTTTACATTATAAAAATAATAATAATTATAAATTAAAATTTTTTAATTATTGCTATTATTCATGCCTAAAGCTGCCACTTATTCTGTGTGTGTGTGGGTTTTGGCATCATTAATATTATTATTATTATTAATTATTATTATATTCTGTGTCTGTATTGCAGATTTGGGCATGACCATGAGTTATTTGTTTAGAGAACCAGCCTCCACAGGGTGTGTGTCAGCAGTGCATTTGTCTCCTGTAGGCCATCACTATAGAAGCAGAGACCTGTGCTTATAGCAGCAGAAGAACAACCCGTTATGACATTGAAATGACCAAATGCATCTATGGATTCTGCCAGGAGGCCTGTCCTGTGGATGCAATCGTAGAGGTACACACATATATTACACTGAGACATAAGCTACAGATAGATATACTATACATACATACTATGTAGATATACTAAATAGATCACAGAGTAGCCATTTGGTCCAAAACAGTTCATGTTATACACTAGTTCCATTGATAATGTAATAATTTCCCCCTCTTTCTGTACTAGGGCCCTAATTTTGAATATGCCACTGAGACTCATGAAGAGCTGCTGTATAATAAGGAGAAACTGTTGAACAATGGAGATCAATGGGAGGCTGAGATTGCTGCTACATTCAGGAAGATTACCTGTACAGATGAACCAGATATAACTCAGCATTAACTACACAGAGCCGTTGTTCACTGACGAGCTGCGCAAAACCACGTTCATATTCGCGCGATTTTTTGATTGCCATGCATTATACGACTGATAGACTGCAACGGTTAAAGTTAAAAATCATCATATGTGTTCTACTGAAGAAACAAAGTCACCTACATCTTGGATGCCCTGGGGGTAAGCAGATAAACATCACATTTTCATTTTTGGGTGAACTATCCCTTTAAGGTGTCAGTAAGTTCGTTGCGCGCCACTGACACTAGAGGGCGCGAATGTCCCGCGGCGCTGCTGCGTCACGTGGTAGGGGCGGAAGCGTTTATGTGAGCCATGCTGAGTCCCGCGCGGGCGCAGCCATTTGCTCTGTTCCTCGATCGCTTCAACACCGGTGAGTGCGGAGCGACGCCGCTCGTCCTGTCATTAAGGCGTTTTGTGTTCCACCGAGGACAAAACACTCCTGAAAGACTTTGTATTTGGCTGAAGGTGTCGTAAGTCGACCGGATTGGTTTTATTCGCCGCTGATGTGGAGTTGCGCGCGTTTCATCGCGGCTCATCTCTGTCGCAGCGCCGTCGCGAGCTGTTGGCAGCGCGCGATGCTGGCGGGCTGCTGGAGCCGCGCGAACAACGCTCGCTTTGTTCCCCCGTTTGTTAATTAGTCTTATTTTCCTAAATTTCCGCACGCTTAGATGCGCCATGAGTTGGTTTCCGGACCGATGGGCCTGCTCGAGGCCTTCAGGCTGCTGCCGTGACTGACTCTCGGTCGGTTTCGGTGAAGTTCGGCCTCCTGAAGCAGCGGCCTCGTGTGTTTCCGCGCATCCTCTTGTTTAGACGCGGCGGCTGTGCGTTTATTAACGCAGTCGGGTGTTTTGAGTCTTATAAGCCGTTTGACTTTTAATATGAGTGAGAAAGTGGTGTTTTCCGGCAGTTTAGTGTAACTATGGTCGTAATTTGGGATCGGCGCGGCCTTTTGTGTGCTGTGACTAACCGTGTCCCGCCATCTCTCCCGCAGAGTGACTGCAGCACAAAGACCAGCACACACACAGACGGCAATGGCGGAGAACGAGCCACAGGTCCAGTTTAAGGTAATTTAAAGAGGCTAGAGTAATGAATTAAAGAGCCTAACGTTAGGTAAATGTTTAATTGATAGCGCGATTAACTGCTAAATTGTTACGACGTGAATTAGCAGAGTTCTAGATAAACAACGCGCAACAAGCGCTTGAGAATCGGTTTATAAGCAGAATATTAGTGTAACTTGTAATCGGTTAACCCGTGTAATTTCAGTTCATCCATATGCACGCTTTAGTAGTGTGGTGTAACAAATTATATGCTTTAAAACAACAACGTGTCAGTATTGTAGCGAGAACATTCCCATAGTGCTGTGCGGTAACAAAGTGGACATTAAAGACAGAAAGGTCAAAGCAAAGAGCATTGTGTTCCATCGTAAGAAGAATCTACAGGTACGGAGCACATCTTTAACTCAAACTCATGAAATGCACTAAATCTTATTGTGAACAATTCATGCATGCATGTTTAATTTTCAAAGAAAAATTGAGCTTGTAATGTTTAATCAACATCATAACTGGATCTTATGGTAAGTTGTCAGACTTCTCTCGGTGATGTTGATCTGCCTCCACTTTTATCCAATCAACAACCAATGCATAAAACCAAGTCCCTGCCCTATTTTTCTTTTTTGATAATTCATTAAATTTGGATGTATGTACCGTATGGGAATGATCTGTCTCTTCTTCCATTTCAATGCAACTTCAAGTTATCCGAGTATTTCCTATGTAGACAAACATGCATTAGTTAAGGCTGAATGTCAGGCTGTTATTGACTAAATGTGAAGCTTGACTGATGTATCCTCTCTCTCTTTCTCAGTACTATGACATCTCTGCCAAGAGTAATTATAACTTTGAGAAGCCCTTCCTGTGGCTCGCACGGAAGCTGATTGGTGATCCTAATCTGGAGTTTGTTGAGATGCCTGCCCTTGCGCCACCTGAAATTGCTATGGATCCATCACTTGCTGCACAGTATGAGCACGACTTGAAAGTAAGTGCATTGTCCGGCCAGCGAGTTGTTGCTGCTGCTGCTCCTAAAACTGTTCCCGTTTAGTCTGTGCTGATCTGTAATTGTCGTTTCTCTTCCAGGTGGCATCAGAAACAGCTCTCCCAGATGAAGATGACGACCTTTAACCTGTTGGCCTCTGACCTCCTTATGGGCACGACTTGAAAGTAAGCGCATTGTCCGGCCAGCGAGTTGCTGCTGCTGCTCCTAAAACTGTTCCCGTTTAGTCTGTGCTGATCCGTAATTGTCGTTTCTCTTCCAGGTGGCATCAGAAACAGCTCTCCCAGATGAAGATGACGACCTTTAACCTGTTGGCCTCTGACCTCCTTATGGCAACGTCACTGGGATTTCCTGGTGACGGTTCCTCCCCCTGCCCCTTTTACTGTAAAACCCCAGCGCAGAATATTTTTATTTTTCAATTTTTGATTTGTTTTGTGTTTTGAATTTGAGTAAACCGTGTGGTTCATTTCATTGTAGACATGCTAACTGTTGCCACCAGACACACACATGCAGACATGCCTACACTTTGACACACTCGCTCACTCAGAGGTGTGAGAGCAGGTTGAGTGTCCCAGTGCTTACTTCTCTATGTAAGGCTCTAAGCACTTAGAGGAGTTCTTGGAATAAAAACATTCTCAATATAATAATCCTTGCTTGTTTTTTTTAATAAACAACTGTTGGAATGAATTTTAAATTGTGGTGGCCTACTTGTAAAACGAAAGACTGACAATTTCCTCTTTATTCAGTTGTAAAGCTTTTTTTTTTTTAGGACTCTGCTGGAAGTTTCTTTTGCATTTGCTTAGATGAAGAACAAAGTAATGCTCCAGTCTAAAATGCGAAGTTGCTAGTCATTGGTGTGATATTTAAATACTGTGGATATTTTTGGAGTGCAAATTGCTCAAGTCTAAACAATCCATGAGGTCAAGAATAGAACAGCATGCACCTAGTTTAAGGTCTGATGTGGTTTTACATAAATATAGGCGAGGTGTCTTACTTTATCTGACAGTGTTCAGTGCGGTTCATATTGAAGAGTCGAACCTTTTTACTTCAATATTAGATGCTATTGTAAAATATGGGATTTCCTTCAAATGAAGAGGGTGTTTTTGTTTTTATTATATAAGTTGGAGTGAATACAATACCAGTAAACACAAAATGGGCACTACTCCGTATTGGAAAATTTAGTATATGTCACTTTTTAAAATAGTCATTTTAATTATGTACTGGATTTGATTAAGATGTGCTTAACATTGTGAAGATGCCATAAATTTTAAATGAAGCCTCGATCAATTAGACAAAATAATAATAATATATAATGCAACAACATACTGGGGAAGTTTGTTTAATTAATATTTATTTAAATTGTGTATATATAATGTGTTACATATATTTCACATGTAAACACAAACTTATTTTGGATGCGATTAATTGATTTGACAGCCCTAATTTAAAGATTTGCGTTGCACTTAGTAATGTTAAAATTAAGAAGTTAAATTTTAAGTGGTTACATACAGTTAAGAAAGTCAAGACCTCTGAGATAGCACAGGCCAAAACAGACTTTCTTTTTTTTTTTACTTTTCACATTATAAGGGAGAATACAACTTTGTATTTGTAAGTGATTTAATGTTAGATTTGTTTGTCATGAAATGTGTGTATCCCATACTAAACATTCATTGTAGAGTCGAGACTTTATTGTCATACTTTATTATATAAAATCGAACGGTGCTGTTATATAAGCAATTTTATGTAATATATTTACTGTAATGATTTTTTAAAAATATATCTAAAATCCAAGGCTGCCTGCCTGTGTCTATATATTACTGCCTTTGTCTGTTGTTTTGTTTTTGATGTTTAGTAAAAACTGCGCTTACCATGGCACGTTTCGTTATAATGATTTTTGATGTTTGATGTTTAGTAAAAACTGCGCTTACCATGGCACGTTTCGTTATAATGATGACCTAGCGCAATGCATACGTACTGCGTAATACTACAATGGCCACCAGAGCGCAGAAAATAGTCATTTATCTCACTCGTGTCAGAGTCTGGAGTCTGGGTTCACACACATTGAGAAGGACGGGTTTTAGAGACCTTCCTCCGCTCTACAGTTGATGAGGTTGATCATGAGAAGACGGCTGTGACTGCGCTTCCTTGTCCGCTTAGTGTTGACAGAGCAGAGGGTTAATGAATGCCAGCTCTCCTGCTTCATGCGCGGTGAAGTGGGCTATACTCATTGATCTTTAACTCCAGCCGCAGTGTGTGTGTGTTTTTGTATTCTGGTGGGGACTTAAACCTGACTACACACAGACTCATGGGGACTCGTGTCACGGTGGGGACCTAAATTGAGGTCCCCACGGGTAAACAAGCTAATAAATCACACAGAATTAATTTTTTTGAAAATCTAAAAATGCAGAAAGTTTCCTGTAAAGGGGTAGGTTTAGGTGTGGGGTTGGTGTAGGACAACAGAATATACGGTCTGTACAGTAGAAAAACCATTACGCCTATGGAGAGTCCCCACAAGGATAGCAAACCAGACGTGTGTGTGTGTGTGTGTGTGTGTGTGTGTGTGTGTGCGTGTGTGTTAGAAAATAATATATCTCACACACCGCAGTCTTGGCATGAAAATGGTCCTTACAAGTAGCTAATAAATAGTTACTAATATAACTGGAATAACATGGGATTCCATGTCAGAAACACATAGCTGATTTTTTTTTTAAAGACAAGAAAAGTTAGTAGAAACTAACGAATAAGTAGTATATAATGAATACCTACCAGTATATACATATAGGCCTATATCAGTTAATAATGCAATAGTTACAGTTATTTAAATGATTACTATATAGTAATATAAATTGGAAAAGGTAGTAGCTATTATGGACAAATAGGCTACTGAATGGGGTATGAAAATTTGAATTAAAAAAAAAATTCAGTAAATGGTCAATGAAAAGCAGTGTTAACTTTCTGGAAATGCAATAAATATTAAATGAAACTTTAAAATTAATCAGACAAAATGTATTAAAAAACAGAATGGGCAACAGTGCACAAAATGTGGGGGGAAAATAATGTCAAATATTTAAAAGTAGTTCGTTATCACAAATAATTTCATTGAAAATATTTGTTTATTTGTATTTTATTTTTAATTTGTTTTAATACATACATTTAATTATATAAAAAATATGACATTTTTTATTTTAATGGTTAGATATAGCCAAGAAGGTCAAGACTGCAAGATGGGACAGGCCAAAATGCATGTATTTTTTTTTTGTTTAATATCTTTAGTTTCCCAGACATTTGATATATTTATAATCACTCCCTTTTCATGCTATGTTGATTTTATGTTATTATTAAACATCTAATAGTTATCAAAGAGCATGGAATTGGTGCCCTTTGATGTTTTAAAAGGTCATATCACAATGTATGCATGAGATGGGCCATATAATGGATTAATGCATATTAACTAGGAAATTTAAAAAATGGCTCATTAAAATAGTTTGGAGGAATAAATGTGGACAGAGTCGCACACACAGGTGCTCGCGCAGGGCGTGACCGTGGACAGGTGAGAGAGAGAGAGAGAGAGAGAGAGAGAGAGCAGACTGAACGCAACTGTTGTTTTAATCCTCTGAGCGGATAGATTTAGAGGGAAAAGTCCTGGTTTGGAGAAGAGCAGCCATATTGCATGGAGCTTCGGTGGAAGAGCACGACTCACCGGAGCAGGAATCCGCTCACTCTTACCGCGCACTTTACCGGCTCATTTGACCTTCTCCTATTTATTATTTACTGATTTTATTTTTAAGATAGTGTTAACCCATATATTGAAAGATGAAGGACCGACTGGAGCAACTAAAAGCGGTAAGCGTCTGCTTATTTTTCTTGTTTAGTGAGCGCATGTTCAAACTGCTCTCCGAGTGTATAGGAATGGCATTACGTAATGGAGCTCGTCTCAAACCTCTTTGTCAGTTCAGTGCTGTTAGACAATGATTATAGTATGAATAAGGAACATTTTGTGGCTGTTCCACCAAGAGACATAATACAAAAGCGTCTGAAATTGAGTTTGTGGATGAATATCCAACAAGTGCTCACTCGAGGCAGCAAAAGTCATATCAGAGATGGTGTGAGGAGTGAATAGAGGAGAGCAGACAGTGTTGGACAGCTGATGTGGTCACCGGACTCATGGAGGGGTCACGGGCCTCTGGACAGATGGGGGAGGGGAGACAGATGAGCATGATCTTAAAATGCTTATTGAAGAAGAAAAAAAACAATAGACAAGAGTTTGCCATCCATTCTGTTGCCACACTAACCAAAAAATATATATATATTACGACCATAGTTTTGTTTTGACCCGTTTTCTGCTTTTTGGACAGTCACCATGATGTTCAGGCAAATATTCCATGTTTTTATGTATCATAGTACTACCTTAGTACTACTTTTATATGTACCATGTTTTTCAGACATACAATCCAGTACTACTATGTTTATATGTACTGTATAATATACCATGGTACTACTATGGTTCTATGTTTTTTATATACTGTATACCATATTTTTCAGGTATGTAATGTTATCATGTTTTATGTATATGTACTAGGCAGAACTACCATGGTTTCTGGACATATATCATGATGGTATTACCATGTTTTTTATATCTGCCATGTTTTTCAGACTTATATCCCAATATTACCAAATTCTGGGGCATGGATCATGGTACTACCATGTTTTTTTCAGACATATAGCCCAATACTACCCTGGTTTTTGGGCATGTATCATGTTGGTACCATGTTTTTTATATATCATGTTTTTCAGACATAATCCAATACTACCAAATTTTTGGGGCAAGTATCATGGTACTACCAAGGTTTTTGATATATGTTGTTATATATATCAAAAACCTTGGTAGTACCATGATACTTGCCCCAAAAATTTGGTCACCAATGAACCGTCACCAATGTTTTTTAGACATAAAACCCAATACTACCACACTTGTGGGCACATATCATGGTAATACCATGTTTTTTTATTATACACCATATTTTCAGACTTATAACCCAATAAAACCACATTTTTGGGCATGTATCATGGTACTACCATGGTTTTTGATATGTACCACTTTTTTCAGACACATAACACCATACTACCATTGCATTTGGGCATGTATCATAGTACTGCCATGTTTTTTTTGTTTGTTTTTTTTTTTAAGATATTTACTGTGGTACTGTTTTTTAACTTGCACATTGAGTCCTATAATGATGTTAGACTTGTCATATTTTCAGACATGTACCATGGTACTACCAAGTTTTATTGGACATATATCATGTTTTTAGACATGCTCCATGAAACAACAAAGATTTTTTGGGCATGTATTATGGCAGTATGATGGTATTTTTTCAGGAAAATTGAAGTGTGCACTAAATTATGTAATACATGAATATGGTATATCAAAATACTATATGGTATTATCACCTGATGACAGTACTGTACAGTGTATGATATGATACCAGAGTACTGTTGGCAGGGATTGGTAGGGCTAGTTTATTTGGATGTTTTGGAGAGGTTGTCAGATCTTATGGGCAGGGTCAGAGGTGAGGATTTGTTTCTGTGGCGACTCTGCCTCAGTCAGACTCTGCCTCCTTTCCTTTGTTGACTTTGTTACCTGAAGCTGTCTAGCAGGCAAGAGGAACTTGTGTGCGTGTGTTTATGGCCGAACCTTATTTACATTAGTCATAGTTGTGTTTCCGTGCTGTTTTGCATACAGAAAATCTCACTCAGTTTTTTTTTAGACTCCTGTTAGTGGTTTAATCTTTAAAAGTTTCTTTATTGAGTTACAATAATAACAGAAATAAGATTTGACACTTTCTGGTGTTTGCCCGAGCAAAATTCAGCAACACAGCGCTGAGATGGGTGGTTGCTAGGGTGTTCTAAGTGTTTTTATCATGCTGCTATGTTGTATCTAAGGTGTTCTGGGTGGTTGCTATGGGGTTGCTAGGGTGTTCTGTCAGGGTTACTTACTGATTCAAGACAAAAGAGCCCATACTTCAGTCACTATGATATTCTGATCTGTGTTATGATTGTAAACAAAAACTGGATTAAAATTTTTTCAATAATAATAGAGTGAAAACTAATGAAAACTAGACCACATTTAAATATAAAATAGGAATTAAAATGCATTAAAAAATTAAAAGCAAAATAACCCTGGTTCAGATCCCTAAATATGACTTGGGCCCCTCTTTTAATATAAATCTTTTAGACTTCTTTTTTTTTTTTTTTTACCGTTTATGATCCATCAGGGGAAACATTAAGTCCAGTCACTTTAATAGGTTTTATGATCCATCAGGGGAAACATTAAGTCCAGTCACTTTAATAGCACAAGTTGCACGATTTGAGTTGTCATTCAGCAGGCCTGGAAGAGTTACTCAGTGAAACTTAATATTAATTTCATAGCGAAGTGTAATTTGTAGGCTTAGGTGTAGGGCTGTCGTGATTTGTCGATTTCATTCGACTATTAGATTTTTAAAAATCCTCGACTTCATTTTGTTTGCTTCGACTAACCGGCAAAATACCAGAAGTGGCGCATTTCACAGACAAGAATGTATAAAACACATTATTAGACCCATTTAAAAAGAAATAATTAAGCATAATTGTGAATTCACAAACGCTACGATTTAATTAAATAATTATATGCGATGCAGTTCTAATACAGTATATGCGCTTTAATTATTTACATACGTGTAGGTTAAGTACGTGCGTCACACAGCGGCTCCGTTCACAGTAGTTCCACAGGAACTGTTATCATTTACATGTGTGCAGCGTCTCAAACTCCATCTCTGCGTGTTGTTGTGAGTTTGGGTTTATTATAACGTTCATCTGGGAACGCAACGTGCGCCATTTCATCAGACCCCTGGTTTAGATTAATCGATAAATTAATCGAAATAAAAATAGTCGTTAGTGGCAGCCCTACTTAGGTGTTTGTTCAAATCTTTAACCTTAGCAATTGTATTAGTGATACTTGTCTTGGCAAACAGCACTAAAATCAGTTGCTTGGGGCATGTCTGTGTGTGACCCTCTGTGTTAGGATATCCTTTTGAGAGAAAAAGATCTTCTGTTCTAACCTCCCAATACATGAGTTATTCTGTCTGTATCTGTCAGTAATGTTTAACTTGGTGTGGCCACACTGTTCTCCTCTTCTTTGTGTGTATATAAGAGTGTTATAGGCTCAGTACACACACACACACACTGGTGCTTGTCTTGGAGCACTAAAGGAACTGTGGGACATTAAACAGCTGAGCGGGAACACTGTGTGTTGGTGACAATTTGTATTTGTGTCCTTCTGGCGACTCCAATCGGCCTTCTTATGTAGTGTTCTTCTTTAGGATGATGAATGAAAAACACACTGTATCGCATTAATGATATAGACTTTATCCTTAAAGGGATAGTTCACCCAAAAATGAAAATTACCCCATGATTTACTCACCCTCAAGCCATCCTTGGTGTGTATGACTTTCTTCTTTCAGACGAATCCAATCGGAGTTATATAAAAAATATCCTCGCTCTTCCAAGCTTTATAATGGCAGTGAATGGGTGTTATTTTCCAATAGTCCAAAAGACATCAAATAAAGCACATCCATCCATAATAAAGGCGTTCTGAAGCAAATCGATGAGTTTGTGTAAGAAAAATATCCATATTTAAAACTTTATAAACTGTAATCTCTAGCTTCCGCTAACTGTCCTATGCGTGTTCACAATAACACCGTTCCGGTGGATGACGTAGGACATAGCGTAAGGTCCGGTGAGACGAATGTGGAAGCGCAGAGGAGAGAGCAAAACAAAACACTGGTCACGAATTAGAAGTACAAAACGAAGATTTGTAAAGAAAAATGTTGGAGGATTTCAATATAAGCCAAGAGGGGACTGGTTTTCCTTTGCTAAAGCAAGGAAACTTTGCTTCCTTTGCTCCTGTAAACAAACGTCGGTTCTCACGAGACTAGCATATTCTCACCAGAGTTTACGCTACGCCTACGGCATCCGCCGGAATGGCGTACTATTGTGAATGCTCGTACAACAGTTAGCAGAAGCTAGAGATTACGGTTTATAAAGTATTAAATACGGATTATTTTCTTACACAACCAGATCGATTCGCTTCAGGAGGCCTTTATTCACCCCCCGGAGCCGTGTGGAGCACTTTTTATGATGGATGGATGCGCTTCATTGGACTTCTTTTGGACTATTGAAAAATAACACCCATTCACTGCCATTATTAAGCTTGGAAGAGCCAGGACATTTTTTAAATATAACTCTGACTGTATTCGTCTGAAAGAAGAGAGTCATACATACCTAGGTTGGCTTGAGGGTGAGTAAATCATGGGGTAATTTTCATTTTTGGGTGAACTATCTCTTTTAAGGCACACTGTTAACTTGAACTCACTATACTTTAACCTACTAAGACACACACACACTCTCTCTCTCTCTCTCTCATTTTCCTTCAGCAGG